ATCCTGTTGAGTCATGTCTTACACACTTCATATACAGTCTCATATTCGGACGTTGAGTGGGAGGATAGTGGAGACTATCTTAAGCCTAAGGTTCTTTATCTTCCAGTATGGAGTTGTCTACAAGCTGGATATACAAGGAAACAATACGTCACTGATGGTAACAGTTCTCTTTCTTATCGCCGAAATGCAGTATATATCCTTACTCAAAAAAAAAAAACCAATATATTTGTATTTTTATCTATCATGCTAGCAGCTTTAGGGTTCCCATTACATGATCTTATGAATTGGTCCTCTTCATCTGTTAAAGAAAATCTTTTGATTCATAAGACTACCATTAAAAAAATGAAAAAGCAATAGATAAATTTCCATCTGTCTTTTATTCTTTCATTTGCATCACAGTAAATCACCTATTTGAAAGCTTAGGGATTTGTTTGGCAGAGTTGGTGGTTTATTTCTGTAGTGCTGTGGACCCCATGTTTTTTAGGAGTCTTGGCGGTGGGTGACGTGAAGTTCAGTATCTTCTAACTAGACCGGCTTACTTTTGCTTCATACTTGATAATATACTTGTTTTGCTAAATGTTGTGGTGCCAATAATGCCTGACATTTAATGTGCGATTTTATTAATTTTTTCTGGTTTTTCTCTAATTAAGCATGAGGAAATTGTAAATATGGGTTATTATATATTCACTGGGGAGGCATCTGGTTCATTAACTGTCCATTCTTGATGTTCAGTATATAGCAATATTCACTGTGCTTGTCTTTATCCTGTTTTTGTTGGGGAAGCAATTTTGAGCTATTGGTTGAAACTAGTACCGGCATCTTCAACTTTCTTTGTATTTTACTTTAATTTGTTATCCTCATTTTAGATTTTATTTTCTCACATTGAAGCCCTATAAACTATAGATGTGATTTGTGCACTGCGCAGATTCCTTGATCTTAGTTGTGATCCAAACAGTGAGAGGAGGTTTCTAATGCTAATGCCTTATTTGGGTATTCTGTAGGTGTATGGAGTGTCATGGATTGTGCTTCTTGGACTTATAGTTCTTTTCAAGGTGTGTACATGGAATGGATTTCTTATTTTCTAAATGTATTTATTATTTTTGTTCTAAATCCCGCCTCATTTCGTCGGTCTAACAGGTATTCACCTTCAGCCAGAAGATGTCTGTTAATTTTCAGCTTGTCTTGCGGTTCGTCCAAGGCATCTTGTTCTTGTTGGCCCTGGCTGGTATAGCCATTGCAGTTGTATTTACAGACTTGTCAGTTACAGACATATTTGCATTCATCTTAGCATTTGTACCTACTGGATGGGGAATTCTTTCTGTAAGTTCTCTTCACCTGAAAGTTCTTGAATCTCCAAATAACTGTCTTCATCTTCACCAGGCTA